GGTTCTTGATCAGACGTTTTAAATGATACCACCAAATTTTCACTAATTCTTGATTATCTCCCATTGAAAGAGGGTGTGACACTTCATTTGAACAAATTTGAATACTCTTTACCCGAGGATGCTTTGTGGTAAGGTCACTTGAAATTGGCCCAGTGGTTCAAGAGAATGTCAAAAATGTGAAAAGTTTACAGACAAATGGACGACAGACAAAATGTGATCAGAAAACCAGAAAAGCTCAAGTGAGCCAAAAACTTATGATCACAATTACTTGGAAAGAGTTACAGTATTTGAAAAGCATTTTTTTTTCATGAATTATTTTCAGAAACTGAAAATGTATGAATTGTATCCGTGTTAAAAAAAAATGCACATTTCAGAAAACAGTATGATTATAAATAATTGATCAAGGTGTTTTGAATAGCAAAATAAAGCTAAACTGGTATAGCTAATTCAACCACAGAGCTTTATCAATTTTAAGATGCACAACCTTTTCAACTCTAAATCATTCTTAATAGAGATATGAGCAGAAGTATATCTGTTGACTAATAAAGATGTACATGTATATTGTGTTTATTAAGTCATTTGTTTGTTTGTTGTTAAACATCCCTCTCGAAAAAATTTCACTCATATGGAGACAACACCACTTAAAAATAATGAAGACAACTCAAATTTGAGGTTAACAGTTTTCAACAATGATGACAAATTAAAATTCGCCCCTTCCCCTTCCCAGGCTCCTGTTTGTTCATGCAAACTTATACTTTGTTTTGACTTTAAAAAATGTGAATATATACAAATAGTTTAATGGTGCATCTCTTTGAATGATTTCTTTTCATTCCTAATTCTAGAAGGGTGGGTTGACCCACATTCATGAATGAAATGTCAAGCAATCTTATCATTGATGCACTTTTATTTAATTTGATGCAGTCATATTGTGAACATTTCCAGTTCAGTTAAGAGAGTGGGGATGACCTCCACGGGCTCATAACCTTTATACTATTAGATGTCTACATAACATGATAACACAATAAACAAGATTATGTATAGTGTAATGGAAAAGTTTACTATTTTTGAGTCACAGGATCATTTGTCATTTCAGGGACAGGGAGTGGCAAGGGATATCGACCTCCCTCCCACCCTGAAATTAGCCGAGTTATTTAAAGTATATACTGAAGCAAATAAAAAATGACTTATGACCCCCCCTCCCCGGAAAACATGGACCCCACCATCATTTTTTTCTTCTCAGACAATTCTAGGTTGGAAATTTTTTGACTGTTGTGTAGACCCCACCCCCGGAAAAAATTCCTAGATTTGCGTCTGTAACTTACAAAGGACTAAAAAATGAATGTAATGTCGACAACGGGAGATAATTATTCAGAATGTGAAATTCGTCTATTGTTTCATCTGATGATCTTTGATCCTTTTTAAACTTGAACCTTACCATTTGCATTTCAGTTTATTTTACCCCAATCCATACTTAAACTTGTACTTACCGACTGTCACAGGTCCTCTCAACTTCATGAAATATAATCAATTAAAAGACAAAATGAACTAATTACTACTGATATACATGTAATGATGTGTACACCATGTGCAATCCAAAAATAATGATGGTAAAACTAGTACTAGTAGTAGAGCAATGCAAGCCCAATGTGATGTAGAAATTTTCAAAAAGGTGTACACATACATGAATCAGAAAAGGGCCAATGTCCTTCTGGAGTCCAGTCTTGAAACTTTTTAAACCTCAAACACGGAAGTTTGAGGATGACAGAGTCCCGAATGACATTGGGTCATTGTTTGTTTGTATAACCCAGGATCTTTGGCTATGAGAGGACACATCAAACATAACAACTCTTTAAATCCTTGAGCTTGGTCGGTGTGACCCAAGTCAAATTTCTGTTTTTGCTAAAGGATGCCTGGCTAGTCAAATTCCACCTCCAATAAATGAGGACCTTTCCTGACCCGTTATAACCGTAATATTTTTCTAGGATTTGATAAGAATTTTGTCGGGGATTCAAAAAAACTTCGCTATATCCGTGTTTGTACTAAACGAGTTTTTGCTGTGCTTATAATATGAAATATTTTAACCTGTAAATAAAAAAAAAATAAAATATAAAAAAAATTTAAAAAGCCACCGGAAAATATAATAATAATACAAAAAAAAGAAAAAAAAAACGCGCAGGTCTACAAAATTATCTCACATGTAAAACATGCAAACAAGACAGTCACAATTCAGTTTTTCACTGAATTCGTGTCTGCCCCGGCCGCCTGTTTTTATATCTGAAGTCGTACATCCCCATATTTGTTAATCCTTCAAATTTGCAATAACTACTTTTGAATTTTAATTTGAATTTTAATTACTATTATTCTGTCCCCAAACACTCTTTAATTTCCTAATGCACTTTAAAAAGCATTTCCAGTCTTTTGCATAATCTTTAAATATTATTTGTTGTAGCTAATTTATACCAACAACTGACCTCTGGTCACTTCCAATACTATTTGTTGCTCCTTCATCATAACCAAATACATCTTTTGATAAACAAGTAAACAACTGCATTTTAATGAATCACTTTCTTGGAACCGTACAGGTTAAAAGGTCAAACCCTAGTGGTTAGCATCTATGTTTATTTTTATCTTCAGAGTTAATCATTTTCGAAGAACCGTACAGGTTAAAAGTTCAAACCCTAGTGGTCGGCATCTATGTTTATTTTTATCTTCAGAGCTCGCATCTGTTAACTCTCTCCGCCAAATAGTACCAATACATTAAATATATGTTACATTCTTATTTTTATGCAATTTTTGTTATGATAACAATTTGGCTTCTTGACAGCGACAATTTTCAACGAAGTGCTGAAAAAAATATTTCTTGGAAAAAAAACAAAAAAAAAAAAAACAAAAAAAAACAAAAAAAAAAACAAAAAATTCGTCGTACCTTCAAATTTTACTAGAAAACATCAAATTTAAAATATTGTAAGCGACGAATTGATTGGAAATCTGAAATATATGTACTACACCAACAACATGCAGACAAACTTGGGCCATAGAAAACCTACGTAATTGAATACATTGTTGTTGCATGGGTACCCAAAGTAAATGTTTCCATTGATTTTGATTCCCATAAAATCTAAAACCAGTTAGTTGTATTATTGCATCCCTTTGCTTCTTTAAGAATTGTTTCTACAAAGCTGACATCACACATTTATTACATTAAAGAATTTATCTTTTGATGAGTATAACATTTAACAACCAATTATGCCCCAGAAAAATGTTTATTTTGTATCGAAAAAAATATATATGTTACAGTAAATTTGTGAAATCAAGAATTTCTTGTATTTCCTTAACCATGCAGTGAATACATGTATTTACTGGCCGTTTTAGGAAATAGTTGTAATTACTGAATAGCTAGGATATACGTATATTTACTGGATATTTTAGCCATTTTCACACGTTTATACTGCACTTAGCTGGATCCATATATGCATCCTTTAAAAAATTCAATATGTATGAAAATAATATCTAGAGTGCATGTTTTTAAGCAAACAGTTGATAATGTAAATATATGTAAAATATATGTAAAATAAAACTAAAATCAAACCTTCCTTACGTTTATAAATAAATGTAATTAAGAGACTAAAATAGATATAAATCAACCAATGGACGAACTTATATCTTTAAACGTTAATGTCGGGTCCACGTGTTATTTCAGGAGTAGATATAAGCTCACATTATTCACAGTATTATTCATTTTTAGAATTAGCTCTTCAGACTGTAAAAACATTAATGTTCAAGAAAATTATCATACAAAGAAATCAAAGCAATTTGCAAAGCATTGTATGCTAATCTATCCTTTTCCAAAGTACATCTTCATTATAGAAGAAAATAATTCATGGAAAAATACTTAACTAAAATATTTATTTTCTTTCCAAAGAAATAATGAATACAAACATCATTTAGGCATTTTCTTCTAAAAAGAAAGTCCACAAATATAACTTAGGGAAAAAAATAATGAATGTTCAGAAATCTAACAGTTGCATAATTTGATACTGATCTAACATTTACATAATATAAACACCTTTGTTTGTTTTATTTATATGTTGTTCAATGTCCCTCTCAAGAATTTTTCACTCATATGGAGACACCACCACTTGCCGTTGGAGAGCTGCAAATTTTCTCCTATACTCGGCACTTACGGCCATTGAGCAGGGAGGGATCTTTTTCGTGCCAGCACCTACTGCGACACGGGACCTCGGTTTATACGGTCTCATCCGAAGGACCGGTCTCCATGTCCCACAGTGGGATTCGAACCCGCGACGTAAGGATCAACTCTTTACTCCGCGACTCTAGAGCAGACGCTCTAACCAATGCGTCACGCGGGCGACATCCTTGATGAAAAGCACATAGCACATAAGTTATATCACAGAGCTCTTTTTGGTAAAGATTAAAAGTTTAGTAGTAAGTATATGTAACAAGTTATTCTTGAACTTACGTATTTCAGACTTTGGAGAAAAGGAAGTTACACTGGTCATAGAACATTTAAATGTGTCTGCAGTGGTTTTCTTACTGATCCCTAGGGTGATTTTCTTCATGAGGCCCTTGGACAGTGGATTGATTGATTGATTGAGTATTGTTTTACGTCCCATTCGAGAATTTTTCACTCATATAGAGACGTCACCATATACCGGTGAAGGGCTTCAAATTTTGACCTTTACTCGGCACTCAGGGCCATTGAGCAGTGAGGGATCTTTATCGTGCCAACGTCTGCCGTGACACGGGGCCTCGGTTTTTAAGGTCTCATCCGAAGGACCCTGGACAGTGGAAGACTTTGGGTTTCGCTTAATAGGTACTTAGATTATTGATTAATCTTTACTTTTTATTTTTGAAAAGTAAGTATTAACTTTTCAACAGTTGCAAAACTTTAATCTATTTGTAAATGCCAAATAGGCATGGCACAGAACTTGCATCAAAGACCTGGGAGGATGTTTATGATCCCGATTTCCCCCATAATGATGGCCATCTTTGACCTGTTGCTGTGTATTCCACCAACCAGCGTGAAGTGTGAGACAACTTTCTTACAGATGAAGTTCATAAAGACTTCTAGGCGGACCAAGCTGAAACCATCAACCCTAAATGATCTGCTGACTGTGAAAATCGAAAGTTCCCGTGTGGAAGAATATGACCCAGAGTCTGCTTTAAATGTTTGGCCAGTATGTTATCAGTCTTTTGAAAACATTTAAATATCACTATTTAGTGAGATTACTGTAGGATTAACAACAAATCTGAAATGAACACTTTGATATAGCATTTTTGGATGTTTTTAAAATGGATTTTCTTTGGTAAAATAACTGATAAATCCGTCACAAAAGATTATTTAATCTAAATATTTCTAAAATACATGAGGATACATGTACCTAGATTTAAATTTGTAAATGTGATGTCATAAAGGGCATGGCATTATTATGTTCCGTATTTGAGTCTAAACTATAATTACAACAAAGTTTTTATTAATTGATACAAAAAATATAAGACAATCGTTGCCCTCTGATTTCATACAAACCATAGTTTTATTGACCTTGGTGCTTGAGTGATATAACTTTCCATAAGACCGACATATATAGAGGTTGACTACATGATTATATACTTAATTGTAATATCTACTAAAACACAAGATGATTTTCTTAATAAATAATTATTTATGATTAATTGCGTTTGGATTTGTTTTTTTTTTTTTTTTTTACATAATACCCCATATTATTAAGACATCTGATGCTCTAAAATCGTCGTTTAGACCAATAATAACTAAACGTTTAAAAACCTTTTCATCTTAATTCTTAAATCCAAATAAAAGAATGAAAATTAACAAGAGCAGCTCTAAGCGGAGCATCCCCTCGCGCCAGGAACTTCACCGGTAATAGCAATGTCTCCTTACGAGAGAACAATTCTCAAGAGGGACGTTAAACAAGATACAATCATCTAGGCCTAGTAATCAAGGGTACCAAGTATTACTATATAAATTTTAAAATAAGGTAAAGAAATTAAAATGTATTGCAACACTAATTAAATTTTAACAAAAGTCAAGGTGGATATCATCGGGGGGGGGGGGGGTTCATTACAAGCATATACGTGATTGGGCAGTTTCCCTTATTCCTAGCAGAAACATATCACGTATGCTCTAAATTTCATTAATTTACCTACCTAAGTAAACCTCATAGTAGCATGCAACATGCATCAAATCTGAAAATACGCACGAAAGGAATATTTTTTGTCGTGAAAAATGACAATATACCGGTGTTGAGATGTCAATGAAACTTGTGAAACTTTATATTTATAGATTTCGAGAATTACGTGCGCCTCGAGATTAAATTCCACAGGCCCCAATTGTAAACAGATACGTGTGGTAATTTGGTATTGAAACCGCGACGTTCATCAAATTATTTCAGTAACTCAGTGACAGTGATGACACTTTTAATTCATACAAACTTTCTCAAGATACGCACAATAATATGACAATACACAAATACAAAGTAGAACTCTATCAAAACAACCCGTTTTTTAACCTGTTAAATTTACCGGAAATGAGTATTGTCAACTCGTACATAAAATTGCAGGGTTTGAAGGTAGTAAAAACGCGATATTTTAAGAACTCTTTCACCGATTAACTTGAAAATGAATAGGGTTCGTCCTTTTACAATGCCACATAAGTATGTGAAGGCTGAGAAATAATAGTGCAAAAGTTCTCTTTAAATCTTGCCCACAAGCAGTAATCGACACACTAACATACGCACAGCAGCGATGCTATATCCCCTCTGCAACTAGTTGTGCGAGGGGATAAAAATATATCTTAATCCAAAAGCGATAAAATAATAAACATAATAGTCTACAACAAACTTATTACATTGAGGACACATCCCAACCGTAACTATTTATACTGGTTTTATTGGTTGGTACATGTAGGTACCGTGTACTTCCTTGTTAAAATCTTTATATTTACTGGCAGCTTGGATAGATCTATTACTTATCCAATACAAAACTCTAAGGTTTCATAATACATAATATATTTATCGTTTACTTTATATATATATATATATATATATATATATATATATATATATATATATATATATATATATATATATATATATATTTCAGTTCTTCTTGTAGATTGTAAGGAACTTCGTGAGAATGGTCAAACTAATTCTGATGTGTATGAAATTTACCCATTCGGGACCAGCTCCCGTCATATCAGAGTGTACTGTGACATGGAGATAATGGACGGAGGGTGGACGGTATGTACCTTTGTTATAAACCTTGTGTTAGGCAGGTAGTAAGATAATCTAGTTCGTGTAAACATTTTTCGTTTGTCAACCTAAGTAATGTATATTTTAGCCAAGAAAATACCGTAAAGACAGAATTTTTATCGATGATTTAATTTTGGCTTTTAAGTGAAGTTAAGGTCGTTAAGATGAATTGTCTATTAAATACATTCCGTGTCTAAGCTTAGAAAAATTTTGCTTGGCATTTTAAAAATATAGAGAATTATTTTTCTTTAAGGGAAAATTTGCATTTCTTCTCAGAATTACTCATTTTATCTTCCTCTAAAATACAACTTAAACAGGTCACATGTATAATAAATAAATCCTCGCAGATGACGCCTAGGTTTTTCTTTTCGACGGATATGATAAAGCAAATATTGTTGTAAATAATTATTTATATTTTGTTTTTCTGATACAATATTTTCTTTGTTTTTTTTTCTTTTTTCAACGATTTCAAGCCCATTCCTTAAAAGCAATCTTAACGACTTGATTTTCAATTTAATTTGATGACACAAAGCATCTCTATAAACGTGTTTGTTTCTTTCAACATGCAAGAATATTACTTGGTTATTTCTAATACAAGCAAAAATGAGTTTTTTCTTCAATGATAATGTCGATTCTTGTCAGTCAAAGTGCATTGTTTCCACATTAAACGTTATACAACTCATCGATGAATGACTTATGGCTCTCGTCTTGCTTCTGTTTAAATAATCCGTGTCAGAAATCAAATAAAATGTATTTGTTAATACACTATGGAGAAATGTTTGAAGATTTACCATAATCAAACTTAGTGAGAGTCATTTTTATATTCTTGGAATAATACCTGAGAAATGATCTTAGTATTGATGAGAGAGCTTAACTGGAAGCTTTGTATATAGTATAAATATTTGATTAGCAGGAATGTCTACTTACTTAAATTCAAATTAAAGTCATAATTATACTACAAAAAACTCTGGCAATTATAGCCGAAGGAATCCTTTTCTAGCTCAAAAATAATTCTTCATTTTTTATGATTTTTAATGATTGAACAAAAAATCTTCATCTTTCAAGGCCATTCAAAAGCGAGTATCTGGATCTCTGAGATTTGATAGGAATTGGACGGAATACAAGAATGGTTTTGGTTCACCGGAACAGGATGTTTGGATAGGTAAAATAATTTTGATTAAAATCCATAATCCAAATGATATTTGTAGCGATGTTGGGACAAAAAAATTCATAAATCCCGAGTTTTAAAGGGAAATATTTTCTGATTGAAAAGGCTTGAGAATAGAATATGATTTTCACATAATGGAAATTTTACAAAAAACAAATAACTGTTGTAGCCATTTTACTGATATCAAATATATCAATGTTAATACAGGAAATGACGTAATCCATCAGTTAACAAAGAGAAAGGACTGCTCCCTCTATGTTTCCATCACACTAGTGAATGGTACTAGACTGTATCAGTTGTACGATGGATTCACTGTTTCTGATGAATCAGAGAATTATAAACTTTCCCTGAAGGGGGCTACCAGGGGAACCGTAGGTAGGTGTCTGTTAGAAGCTACTTGAGGTTTAAGTTGAGGTATAAAAGACGTCATATATGTATGTGTAGACGTCGCGCACAGAATTGGGGCCCGTTTTGTAACGTCAAAATAGCGTCATTAAAACGCTTAAAGTTTACGTCCAAGTGAAAGTACTGAAACATCCCAATCAGAAATATTGATTTTTTTCTTACGAGAATCTTTTTTTTCCCGATTATCTTGTCTTCTTTCATTCCCTTTTTTCCTTCTTTTTTCACTAATTAATACTTTATTCTGCTGATGACAGATTTGTATTTCTCTTAAAAATGCAAGTAAAACTATTTTTGACGTTACGTTGTCTAAGCACGAAAACGTTAAAAATTGAATGCGTAACAGACTAGACATCCAGTTTTTGCTCTGTTTTCTTTAAAAAGGTTTAAATTCTTTCTGTTTCTCTTTATATAAAGTTTCATTTATTTGCACATTTCGAAAATAAGATTTTTATCAATAACAAGTATTCCGGTTAAACAGAAAAGAGCTCACATCTCTCATATACGTCTTTTAAAATATCATAATACGCTAATTTGTGTCAGAGTAACAAAACCGACCAGACATCAAAATCACTCTACCATCTCTTCAAATACTTGTTTATATCTTTTTAAAGAAACATGTGTCTACTTCTTGATTTGGACATTTTATTTCTCCCTTTAGTTTTACCAAAAGAACTTGTTATATGGGAAAAATTCTTTACCAAACATTCCATCTCTCCTTGTTAATTGCCAAAATCACTTCCTAATACGGAATGCTATTATTTTTACGAACAATCGGAATCGGGCAGTATTGGAAATTTATTAATGAATTTTGTATGAAATCATCACAGGACATTATAGAAGCTTTGTGTAAATTGGCGGAAAGATCCATGTGGTCAAAACGAAAAAAATGCCTAAAAACGACTAGCGCCCGTCTTTCAGTGTTACAAGTTACGCAATTACGGTTACTCATTACTATGCGCGACGTCGTATTACTTACTGTTCGAAAGGAGTTTATCATCACATAAATGTAGCAAGTAAAGCAACAATCTCAAAAGAAAATTTATCTTTTTTTGTCATATTCCTAAACTTTTTGCAAACCAAAACCCTTTTGAACAGTCAATTTACAAACTCATCTTTTAGCAATTTGATGTTTAGGAGTCATATTTATGATATTCAGTGCTCGCGTTAAATCAGAATCTTTATTATGTGTTGTTTTTATGTTGTATGTTCTATGTGTACAGGTGACAGTATAAGAAACACTTATATTCCTGCCTTTAATGTGCCTGGGATGTACTTCAGCACCTTAGACAGGGATAACGATAGACTGGGTGGTGATAGCTGCGCTGTTTATAATGGGGGAGGATGGTGGTTCAATGCCTGTCACCAAGCTTTCCTCAATGATCCCTGGGCCTCACCAGACTGGAGTTATGTATGGGATCCATACATATCAAGGACGGGACAGAAGTGATGGGGACGCTGATGCTCATCAAGCGTCATTAATTACACCATTTACCTCATCAATAAATGCTCACGACGTGTGACCACTCCAAGGAGACGCTTACTCGTCATAGGCACCTGTTCTTTCCTGCCCTGTTCACGAATTGCATTTTTTATAGAATTTATTAGATTGATTACTGTTTGTTATACATTTTTAACCTTTTTAATAATGTATGCTTAGTAAAACATTGTTATTGTCTCAAACATCGGAGAATCTGAGATACCGAAAATAAAATACTTTGAAAATAATGGAATTGGGATTTTTAAATTATTTCGACATATGTATGAATTTCGAGTTATCGTGTTTGAGACACCAACATTTAATTTCATATGTTTTGATGATTCCATGAACACTTTTAACAGAATTTTTTTGGGAACAGTGAGTATTTATACAGGTAGTAACTGCAAAAGTCATGTATTTCTAATGGACAAAAAGCATGTACATGTATATGTCTGAAGTCTTTTGTATTTTTTACCCATGACTTAAAATAATAATAAATTAAAAAGAAAAGAAAAAAAGCATAGATGCTTTAAAACACATACCGATGATGGCTTTACTTTGATAAGAGGCACTTTTCATTTGTATTAAAATTTGTTATACAATGTTTCTTAATTTGAATAAATAAATTTCAATAAAATGGGGTTATTTGTATAATGGTTTTTTGTTCAGTTTTAACGAGAGAGCTCCCTAAAAACATCAATTATCGTTTGTTTGCTTTTTTCCCCAATTAACTCTGCAAATATTAGTTTTGTACATAAACTAGAATATAACACACTTTGTTCTTTTTTTCCGGATACCTAATGGATTGCTAAAATGATAGATTATATCTGATTTGTTGTTTGACAGCTCTGAACATGTAGCAGTGACGATTCTTTATCACACTTAACACAAGTATCGTTTTTTTAACGCTCATTCTAATGACCCATGACCTTCACATTCAAAACCGAGTGCGTAAAAAAAAAATTAGAAGAAACACTCCTTTGAAATTCTCATTGGTGCAAATTGCGCTCCATTGTAAGCAAACCTTTTTTTTGTATTCATATAAATCTGCATAACACTTCAATTCAAACATATGCTGAAAATATTGTATTATTAGTATTATTTCAAAAGTTATATCGATTTGAAATTTTGACTCAAGTCTGTTCTCAGTTTACGCTTTTTGGGCCCGGTCATATAAAATTTATTTTCCGCCGAGAAATGGCTGGAATATTGCCGACTCGGCGTTATACCCTAATCAATCAATCCAACCAGTGTAGATCTACTTTTGTTGCGTAATCTTACAGTATATCACGTAAAACGTTGTTAACATGATATACGTTTACATGGTTATACAGGGTTACATGTATAAACAGTAAATAGAATTGTCTGCAATTACAAGAAAAAGTTTGAGAATATATAATTTTTTAACTTCCTCTCGCAATACATTACGTATATAGGTGGAAAAGATTTCTTAATTCAATTCTGACAATATAAAGTGTATCGTCTGTACATGGAGTCAATTAGGCGATTTATAAATGCCAATGGAATGTCCTCTCCAATCGTATAAAGTATACTGCAAGTTTATATGCAGTAGCCGGTTTTAAATCGAAAATATTGAGGCTTCTTTGACCTTCCACCAATAAATGTTCAACAGGGTTTAAATCTGTTGCTCATTTCACAATAAATCTTAACGACTAAGATCAAATTTAATCTTGAAGAAGAGTGAGGAGAAGATCTTAGTTCCCCGTATACTTTATGAACTTTTAGGGATAGACGGGATAGAATTTTCCAATATCCATAGAAATGCAGGTGACAGAAAACAAGGAGTAAAGCCGCGAACTATTACGGGTCGATTGATGAAATTGGTATACAAGGATCGTATTCTGAAACAGCGGGAAAAAAAAGAAGGAATATGGTGTTCAACTACCCTTCTATATAACCCCTCAATCGCCGGTTCAAGTGAACGAAACACGTAAGAAACTGGTCGAGCTGAATAATAAATATTGGAGTGAAAGACATTAAAACGAGAGTTGTTGGAGACAAGTTGGTCTTTCCAAATGGGTCGTTTTACAGGGATAAGATAATAACACCTAATGCAGAGGAAATTACAACTAGACCTAAAGGAACAGCAGAAATTAGAATTGAAGTTAAACGCTCCAATACCCACACTGAATCAGGAAACCAGATTACTGCAGATGCAGTGGAGGTTTAGACATACGCAAAAGTTCGGAACTTTTATCGGAAAAATTCCATGGATCCAATGTATGGGCGCGCCAATCACAACATACTGATTTACCGCTTTAAAGACAATTCTGGGATTATACATGACGAATACTGCAACGACGGCGAATTTGGAGCAGGGAGGAAAATGCTAAAAATTCTGCAGGATCAAAACTTTACAAGTGTGTCTGTTGTGATATCGCGCGTGATGGGCAAACACCTTGGTCCGAAACGTTTTGACATTATGGAGAAAACGCTACTTGATGCCTTAAAAGAACTACTGTAATTTATATAAGTGCGTTATAGTGTCCACAACACATTTCTCTATCGAACTTTTTGTGGTAAATCTGTTTTACGCTACAAAAGATCTTAGTGTTTTCGATATAAGATCTTAGTGTTTTCGATATAGGATTTTTGTAGAGTTTTTGCAATTTTCTTTTCCCGATAAAAAAAATGTTTTGAAATATTTTCTTTTTTAAGTGAAATTTCGGAAAAAGTAAATTGATTTTCGTTTCCGATTTTTCAATTACTGACTATAATAGTGTTTCCGGTATTGCATCGGCACAGAATTTAAGGTAAAAAAATAAATAAAACTCTGATTTGATCTATGGAACTCTTTCAATTATGCATTTGCAACTTTGTTTTGTACATGTATATACATTTTTCTTTCTTTTTTTCTGTTTACACATTTTTTTTCTCTTCTTTGCTTGCATGTGTGAGTGAGCGTGATGGCGTGTCTGTGAGAGAATGCAAAAGTCATGTAGTTACATTTTTCGCTTGGAGGCTGCTTAAGTTTAATACATCAGCTTTTGTTGATGAATGAAACTATAAAAATCGTAACGGTGAACTGTCAAGGGCTAGCAACACCACAGAAATGTTCTTAACTACTATAGAAAAAAAGGCTATTTCATTTTATGTCTGCAAGATACACGTTCTAACTATGAAACAGAACCATTTGTAGAAGCTCAGTGGGGTTATAAATGTTATTTCAGTTCATACAAATCTAATACGCGAAGAGTAGGTATTCTTTTTCACAATAATTTTGAATTTAAAATCAACGAAGAGAAGAGAGACCAAGAAGAAAATATGACTGTTCTTGATATATCTATTGAGGAAAATAGCTTAATTTTGGTAAATGTATATGGACCAAACACAAACTGTCCTGACTTTTATGAAAATGTTCGAGATACTTTTTTTAGAATTTGATAATAAATATTTTGTATTATGTGGTGACTTGAATCTTGCACTTAATCCTGAAATAGATACATATAATTATGCAAATGTTAACAATCCCATGGCACGCGATAAAATGATAGAAGTTATGGAAGTTATGGAAGATTTACAAATAACTGACTATTACAGAATGCTGAATCCAGATAAAAAAAATTTTACATGGAGGAAAAAAACCCTGTTAAACAAGGCAGATTAGAATATAACTGAATTCCTGAAGGTCTATCCAATCTTGTTGAGGATGTTACTGTTAAACCAGGATATATGGTCTGATCGATCTATTGTCGTTCTAGAATTAAAATTTAATCCATTTAATAAAGGTCATGGCCTAAGGAAGTTTAATAACAGTTTACTGCATGACAAGATATATGTTGAAAAAGTTAAGGATACTATACAACGGGTAGGATGTCAATATGTACACAGATGATGCTGAAAGTAACTCTATTTATATTAAAAGTATGGATGGCAGTATATTTCTTGAAATTTTTCTCTAGGAAATAAGGGGAATAACAATCTCCTATTCATTTAAAAAAAAGAGAACAGTTAAAGAAATCCCTTTTAGAAGAAATAGAAAGGTTAGAAACAGAGAATGATAATAATACAGATATTTTGGAAGAAAAAAAAAATCACTTGAAAATTTAAGAAAAGTTAAAATGCAAGGCCATATAATAATATCTCGAGCCAGATGGGTAGAAGAAGGTGAAAAAACAACAAAATATTTTTGTAATCAACAATCAAGAAACTTTATTAACAAAATTATCAAAAGAGTTGAGATCGATGAACAGCACACTGTTCATGATCAATTTGAAATTTTAAAGTTAAATTTTTCTATGAAGATCTGTATTCAGAGAGTCAGAATGTATTGATTTGGATCTAAATGATATTATTGACCCAGGTGAAATTAAAAAAAATTGATGAAAAGACTTCTAATAATCTGGAGAATGACATTGCAGAAAATGAAATTTTAGATGTACTTAAAAATATGAAGAATAATAAGTCACCAGGAAGCGATGGTTTTACTGCTAAATTTTTTAAATTCTTTTGGATAGATTTGAAATGTTATATTTTAAAAGCAATTAACTGTATTTTTGCAAAGAAAGAACTTCCAATTTCACGACGACTTGGGATTATCCCTTGCTTACCCAAAGGTGACAAACAAAGACAGTTCTTAAAGAATTGGCGACCAATTACTTTATTAAATGTCCTGTATAAACTTGTATCTGGATGTCTTAAGTTTTAGAATAAAGTCTACTTTAGAATCTATTATTTCTGATACACAAACAGGTTTTATTAAAGGTAGATACATAGGGGAAAATACCAGATTTATTTATGATTTAATGTCTTATATAGAGTCAAACAATATACCAGGTCTGTTAATGCTAATTGACTTTGAAAAAGCAATTGACTCAATTTCATGGTGTTTTCTTTAATAAAGTTTTTGAATTACTTTGGCTTTGGAAGAAAATTTATTGACTGGATTAAGATCTTAAATACAAACTTTAAAGCATCAGTTTTACAATATGGATTTTTATCTGAACAAT